GTTTCATCCGGCTTTTAGTTGTTTTCTCATTTTGGGGACATGCTTGATTACTTGCACCAGTCGCACAACGACGACCAGATTCAGCAAATACAAAATCTCTCGATTTGAACAATATAATTTTGTAAAATGTCAGTGCAGGACTGACTAATTTGAGAGGTGAGATAATCATGAACTCTTCTTCTTCATGAAATAATGGCAAAATCGATACCTAACACCTAAACAATGAGTTGAAAACAGTGTTGTCAGCTCAAAAATTCTCAATTTTTCAACAATATTGCTATCACTTGAACTTATAACCAAACAGAATACAGAAGTTCATAATAATATTATCTTAGCGATGTTAAAACAAGATCCGAACAGAATCGACCCGATGAGACATAATCAAAATCGATTTTGAAGTTAATCATATGTTTTGTCAGAGAAGGACGATTATATGTTTTTCCCTTAGATAAAGGCTTCTCACCTTCCTCTACATGTACATGTTACAAGAGTAACTACTAGGAAATGAAATGGCCTAGCTCAATATCTTGCTCAGTATTCATATTTTTCTGATCTCATGGATATCATGAACCAGGATACTTTCATAGAAATACGTAGGCGTCTTATGATTGCTTGTCCTCCTGAAGTGAATCAAATCAGGATCTTCATCATCATCATGATATCTGATTTCATTATTCTTCATATTGATTACCTGATGGTTTTTTTCGCCTTCTTGATTCTCTTCATTTTCATTTTCTACTTACTTCCTTAACTGATTTCAGATACACCAACCTAGCTTGTCATTCCTCCATATCAAAACAGTAATAATCGTATGACCATAGACGAAATGATATGGTTAGTATCTACCACGCTAAAAACTGACAGAAATACGACAGAATTTCTTTCAATCCAAGAATCATGGACGTGCGGACCTTGCATTCCAGTCAGAGTCATCTCGATCTCGAGATAACAAGAATATTGAACCATTTCATGAAATGATATGAATAGTCAGAGCCCAGTATTCATCAGTAAATTACAATAAATACCTCACAGATAGTACTAGTTATACTATTCAAAGTATTTGTCGGCATTTTCACGAATGGGTCTATTTCAGATGGAGATTTGTATGTGAATTATCGGGTTCTGCTCGAATCTGATGATCTAGATGGCAAGAGCGCACTAAAATAAGTAAAAATCGAATTATTGCGGGAATTATGTTAAAAGTCGATTTATCGAATATGGTATTTTTGCTCCCCAACTGTAAAAAAATACAAAAAAGAAGAGATCTACACCTGATACTGTATTCTTCTAAACTTCCGATGTTGGTAGTATCACGTGTGTCAGTCAAGTGTTATAGGTACATCGTTCAAGTTGAAAATACATAGTTGCACTGGTGGGGTTCTTCAGGGGTAGCTTGAAAGAAGTCTACTTTGACTTCATAGTCATTTGGGTTGGACAAAAGTGAAATTCCTTAAATTTTTTTTCGCAAGTAGCATGCATGACCGTGATATTGACTGTATGAAAATATCTGGGACACCTGGTATGAAACTACGACCATTTTCTTCAAGAACTTTGCACCAGAATGGACACCGATTCTCTGTAAATTATTTATCATCTCGTACAATTCGTTTTTTTTTCTATCTTCCTGAAAGATATCTAGAGTGCCACCAAGCCCCAGAAAAGAGAACAAAAACCTGCCCAACAATTACAGGCTTATTTTCCTGTTATCAGTTATCTCCGAAGTGATGAAGAAAGCCTTAAGACTTTATTGCTGTTGATTAATGAGAGGTAATTTCTAACGCTCACATGAAAATTATATTTCTCCGCGTTTACATCTTTCGTTCGTTTTATTTAACGATTTTTTCGTAATGAATAACTATATTCTGAGACAAACGAAGCTGCATCTTCAACCTATCATCCACTGCCTCTTCTTCAGGACTGGGTTTTGAAAGAGAAAAACCACTCAAAGTAAGTACCACGAATAGAGTCGAAATCTTGCTCGTCAAAATCCCAGGCAACTATGGCGAATTTATTGATTACTCGGTGAAAGAGCTACAGCGAACATTTTACCAATGAAAAATGCATCCCATCATTAGAGTGTTCTCCAAAGGCGAACTACTCCGGGAGAAAAACCACTCTGGATTTAAACTGAAATCCCGCTAATGATCTGCGCTCCAGAGTCAGTTATGCCTCTTTCAGCATTTTCTGACGTGGTTTCTAGCCGTGAAAGGAGATCTGAAGGAATAACGTGCTCTAGAGTTTGGATGCCATCTAGACTGGAAGCAATAATCCCGGGTCTTTCATCACAGAATATATTCAGGTCAGCTAGTGGATTTTGTTTTCGATATATACAGTTCTCAACACACTCATAATTTAACTCTATTTCGAAGACCTGTATTTTTGAAAAAATTTACCTTAATTGGCCATAGGAACAAAAATTCGATTTTTTTTCGAAAGTCTTGCATTTCATGAATTTTTTCTCTAGAACTCCACTTGAGCTGACTATTGGGAAGAACTGTTCTCATTTTTTGTGGAGGATAATGAAAGACGAAAGAAGCACTATTGTGAAATATAAACCTATACAGGATGATAAGAAAATAGGACAAAATCTCATTTCAATAAAAAGAATCGAAAATGGTGACTAGAACCATGACCCATACGATTCAGTATATTTAGAGACGGCCTTCTCGATATCCATCATTCATATTAGACTATATTGATTCGAGATACGTTTTCAAAAATTCGCGTCTGATTGAAATACAGGATGAAAGTACTCAATACAAACTTGTTTCCTGATATAGATGATTCTTGTCAACTGATTTTCAATATTCATTCATCGAACTCTCTGCAAGTTTTATGTGGAGTGCCTCAGAGTTCAGTTTGGGGGCCATCTACACTAAAAGCAATAATTCCGGGTCTTTCATCACAGAGTATATTCGGGTCAGCTAGTGGATTTTGTTTCCAATATTTTGAGACACCAGCGCGCAAGTGTATAGATCCATCTCATTGTCTGCTGAATGGGAGGAAAAATCAAGTTCTGGAAAAGCTCTTGAACCTGTCGATTCCTGATTCAACGGGCAACGAGTTGTCTGCTTTCATCATGCCCCTACCAGGGAGGAGCACAACCCTCGGATTTTGAATAGGGATGATTCTGATGATTTCATCGAGTAGGTACTATCCGACCCTCTAATTTCGTGTTGAATCGAAAACGAAATGGAAGATAAAATAGTGGATAAGACAATGTCAAATTTACCTCGAAAATATCATTCCTATCAGAGTAGGATTCGGAATTAACACGAACATTTTGGTGTAAGAGGAAAATTTCACGAATGGATAGCCGCATTCCTCTCTAGCGTCTTCAGAGTGTGGGTTGGTTCGAGTCTCTCAAACTCTCAGCAATATTCATCTGGAATGCCTCATAGTTCAGTTTGGGAGCCAACATCATTTCTTGCTTATGCATCGAATCTACATGAAGTTTTGAAATCTGACCATGCATTTCATGCTGACGATAGTAAGTTTTTGTTTTTAGATATCCATTAGCCAGTTATGATGATCTTCAGGCTGATCTGAGGCCCGTGCAGAACTGGTGCAATACATGAGATATTGGTACCATTAAATATTGACACGTTTTCTCTGTTTTGCATGTTGGCAAAACTAACCCCGACTCTTATTACTTGTGTATCGAGACCATACCTGCAGTAGAGAACTACAACAACTAGGAGTTTTCTTCAAGAAAAAGCTCTTCTTCTTGAATTTCTGGAGGTAATACGCCTCAGGGAATACCTTCCTTGGCAATGTGATCCAGAGCCTCGCTGTTCGTTGGATGAACGAGTCTTTGAAATGAGATGTTCTGCAGGTCTCCAAAGTGACCACGAAGGGGTGCGAAGCCTCAACTCGACGGGTTGATCTCGCGGGGACTGCCAAGAGAGGAACAATCGTTGATATTTCGGAAGAGCATCATCCATGAAAATATATATGAAATAGACCCAGACCGCCAACTTTTCTGCAGTGTTCCAGAGAAGTGAGTGAGTTTGTGAGCGAGGCATCACCCACAAGACGAATTGCACTTTTTTGGACTGAATCCAACAGTTTCAGGGTATGTCTGGGTGCTGCACTCCGAATATATAGATATATAGAATTATATAGATCATGATCAGCTGACTGGAGGTGAAATAGCTCCTGGTCCGAAACAGAAAGTTTTTGGGATGCATATTAGCAATTGATCTCACGTGTTTTTCCCAAGAAAGGTTATTGCTGATAGTAATCTCAAGCATCGAAATGGATGTCTTCAAAGGTATGGTTACTCCAGACAAGCTCATGTTGGGCACAGTGAGATCGGCTTTTCCAGAGCAAAGGCATGCTCGTGTTTTGTTTGCATTGGAATCAACCAAGTTATTGGATCCCCATTTGAGAATTGTTGCCAAGTCCATATTTATGTTGTCAACATTTCTCCCTCGTTCGTTTCTGATTTGCCTGGCTGGAATTGGAGCCCTGGAACAGAAGTCTTTCATCCGTCCACACCTATAGAGTATGCAGTCCAGGTTTGATTCCCATATCTAGTGCAAGACATTCAACAAATGGAAAGGGCTCAACGCAATGCTACTCGATGGTGAGTCGCCTTAGTGATATATCCTACGATTAACGTCAATTACGCCTAAATCTACCTTACCGCAGTGAGTGACGTATTAGAGGAGACGCCATTATGGCTCACAGAATCGTACACGATTTCTCCTCTGTTGATCTTTCTGGATTATTTCAACTTCAGAATGACGATAGATTGAGAAGTCATCCATGAAGCAAAAACGAGGAAACTCCCGTACTACTGCTGGACAACAATTATTTCCAAATCGAATATTTTCGAGGTGGTACGCCCTACCTGGTGATGTGAAATGAACGAATACAAATTGTCTTTTCTTTGTGATTGCGGTCAGTATATGTGAGAATTTCGAGATAAGTGTAATAATCTTTGAAATCTCAGTGAAAAGTGAATTGTATGATATAGAAACTGTTTTTGTACTCACCACCCAATATGAATAGACCACAAGCAATGATCGTTTTATTGTCACTGTTGCAGTGGCCAATGATAGCGAAAAGAATTGCTAGCAAGAGGAATACCACGGCTGTTCCACATAAGATCGTACAAGACCTGAAACAAAGGATATGCAGGTCAGATACAAGCCCCAAAATTATTGCGGTTCTAAATATACACTTCTCAAAAAAAATTAAAGCGCCACCGAAAAGTAACTTGAAGTTTGAGATACATTTGCATCATAACGTCACAATATTGATGAAATGAACCTCTGGTGTACGCACTTCAATCCTTTTCTGTTTTACAATTCCTTGATTTTCGCCTACTTCGATGAACATAACATGGCGTGGGTGAATGTCGCTAAATTTAGTCTGGTGCCGTACCAAAATTACAGGCATCAATGTGACAATTGTGGCCGAATTGTGACCAATGAAGATGGGGAATACATTTTGCGATTTAGCCGCATCAAGGTTGGTAGAACTGATGTTGATCATAAGTTCGAAGAATCACGCCATCTAACATTCGATATGTGAACCCCACGTCATCGTCTGAAATTCAATTGTTTATATCAAGAACCAGTCTGACGAAACAAATGAAGAGTGAGCGCACCAGAGGTTTATTTCATCAATGTCACAATAATACTTGTCTGATCTGAACGGTTTTTGTTTCGAATGACAGGTTATCGTCTTCTGAAAATTGGCGTGCAAACTGTTTTCGCATAATAATCACTTCTATGAATACCGGGTGTAGCAATTATAGCGTGTTCCTTTCATGAAATTAGTAATTCTCTAGCTTTGAAGTGTAAAAGTTACATTTATCAAGTTAGAATAAGATTCATTCAGTTATCTTTCTCATCACTCCATAAACACAATTTTATTGCAAAACATAATTTCATAGAATTCGTAGGTATAGCAGGCAATGGTCTGGGAAGGCATTTCTCTGACTGGTAGCATGGGACTTGTGATCATATATGGAAGCCTTACAGGTACATGTTTGGAGATTGCCGAGACCAAATACAGTGCGCACCATATTATAAATATAACGGATAAATTCATTTTCTACATTAAAAACAATTGCATAATATCATAACAAAACTGTGGTGGTTCGAATGCAACTATTTTCTGAAAACCAAACGTTGAAGAATATTGAGATATATCTAGACAAATTTATGGCACAGTCACATTATCATTGAGATACCGCAAAACACTAACCCTGAAACAGTATGTTCATTTATAGGTGAGTTTTGTTTTCCACGAAAGAAAACGAATATAAAAAAAAAATTAACAAAGGGTGATTGAAAATATGTTGAGACTATTTGAAATACGGACCTGTTGAAATACATTATACATGCAATAATGCAGGCATATTCATGTTCAATGATGAAATGAAGATGATGAGAACATGAGAGAAATCTATTTTATATCATCCAAATCCATAATGAAATGTATGTAAGTCGAAAATTTCATCTTTTTTAATCAAATTGACTTCACTCCTTCTGAACTTCTGAAATTCAAAAGCAAATTCAGAAAATTCGACAATACAGGATCTTGTCTTCAACACATGGAAATTAATTAATTTTTGCTGATGAGAACCTGATTTTTTCCTTGGCAAGTCTCTATGAAGTTTTAGTAGCGGAAGAACATATACTAGAAGGTTCGTTAGTTATGACTAGAGTTCCTGAATGTACTTGACACTGCTGTTTCGACGTTTTTGAATACAAGAGTACGGACACTAGACAAGCAGTGACAATCAAACATAACCACAGACGATTTTGAAGCAAATCATATGTTCTGCCAGACAAAGACAAGAAAATGTTTTCTGCTATAGATAACGAATCCTCGCATCTTCCTTCCTCCACACGTCCTGCGAAGAGTTCATCCATATATCTTTTTCTGTCTTTGATTTTTGTATGAGAGTGCATAGCGTTTCCTCGAGTGGGTAAAAGTGTACGATGAATTGATTAGAAAATTATTTCTTCTCGAAATAATGGATCGATATAGAAAATTGTAAATATCTCCAAAACGATAACCGCCAGCGTAATTAAGGCCCTTATAATAATTCCCTTGATACATAAATAACTATTCTCATTGGTTTCATGTTCACATAAATACCCAAGTAGGTATAATAGATATGTGAGAATATAATATACCTTATGAAACTGTGGAAACTGAAAACACAGAGTTTTGCATTCATAATAAGAAATTCACTAACTTCTTAATCCCATACTTCGACTCGCTTTTGAATTCCTTAATATTCTTCTGCTTTGTAAATTGATGGAACAGCAGATTCTCTCAAACAGATTTTGGAATGATCTGTTTGAAAATGGGCCTGAAATATAGTTTCATTCTAATCAGATGCTGTTATATGCTGTTAAAGAAGTGAATTTTAATGGGTACCTCACAAATTTTGCTCGTCTTCAAATTGATTTTCCACCCATATCTTCCTTCCATAAGCGAATGGTTGATATTTGTTTTGGAAAATTGAATAAATGGTATCCATTTTTTTTCAGAATTGGCACAATTCATAACACAGCAAGTAATTTCCATAACTGCTTTTTCCTCGAAAGTTAAATTATGAAATTTTATTTCAATTCTGACGTTTATAAAATTTTTGTCAAATTCAAACATTCCTGTGTCCGAACTCTTATCAAACTAATACCTTCCAGTGACTCTAAGTGAAACTATACTCAAACTGATGTCATCTTCGGGGTAATATCTCAATAGTTAATTTGGCACTTTCCCCCACAAAGCGACTTCATATAGATATTGCGTCAGAACTATTTACATTATTTTAGGTTTATAATAGTGTATAAATACAATGGTAGTGCTCGTGTTCTTTAGGGTTCAGGCAAATTTACTATTCAGCTCTGCTCGATTGTTGCTCTATTTGTTCCTGCTACTGCAAAGCGGTATTCCGTTCTCTCCGCCAGTGAAAATATTACCCGGAAAATCATTCGGATAGTTCCAGTCTCGAGACGCTTCTCGTAAAAGTCCTAGATATTCACTGGTCCATATATATTTCCGACGAAATCTGATTTCCATGAGAATCATTGAAAGAAACTTTGTCTTATTATCAAATAAAGTTGGAGCTGCAACTTCTATCTATATACTTTGAAAGTTTTTCTATTTTCTACAGTAATACATTTTATCTCGCCGCCTCAGTGTTGAAATGGATTGATGTGAGTAAGGATGCGGTATTTTCTTTCAAAGAAGTAATTCTGGTGTTTTGTACAAAGCTATTCGTATTCCCTAGATGTTCAGGAGATCTAATTTGCTCCCAACTGACAGAGAATACATCAAGTCTTGCGGTAATTGAGAATTTCTATTGAGTTTCCTTGTAATTTTATATATCATATCATATTGATATCAGTATATACATACCTACAGGGTGTCCCATACATAGTATATGAGAAGGTTTCGCACCTGCTACATTAGAAAAAACAGGTATTTTATATATTAGCACATGAAGAAATTATATTCCGAAATATTGAAGCCATATCTACTGAATCATTGTCGTTCTAGATGACAACCTAGTTAGGTAGTTAGTAGGCAGGATACCTCCTCGCACTAGGTCGCCTACTAGGTTTTCATTTAGATCGACAATGACTGAATCGTAAACCCTCCGATAGGGTTCTCTGAAAAGCTACAAGGCGAAGGAGTGCACCAGGGCAACATTTATACTGAGTCATTTTTTTGTCATGCACGATATGTCAGTTCGCTTCCGTCAAAAATGCTTTCAAGTTGGACCAAATTTCATTTTTTTTAAGTAGTATATGTAGAGTAGATAGGGTTCATAAAATGAATTTTACTGCAAATCTTCTCATCTGATGAATTTGTTGCAAGGGTTTTTGTGAAATCTGGAAGAGCAAGTGAAATTATACGGATTCAAGAAAGACATTATACAGTGAGGACCAAAAGTCCGTCGCCACTTGTTTATTTTACGTATTACAAAAAAATTGATCGATAAGTTGTAGGTGTAGGTTCTCGTTCAAACCACTCAATGGTTTGGGTTACATTTATACAGAGTGTCTCAAAGAAAAGCAGCGACTTGAAAGTAATTTATTTCAAATGAAACACACTGTGTATCATTGCATTTTCAGATTCAATGTTGAATTTTCAACAACTCAGATTGATTGTTTCAGATCACATCAATAATTTTGGAATTATGAACACTTTTTGATCATTATTTCGTCTATTTTCGCACCAGTGCAGTAAGGAAACCATTGCAAATGGAATACAATGCATTCTACTTTCCTAACATTCCGAATGATTTCAACATTTTTTGTAATGTTTACCAAAGAAGTAACGCTGAAGTGCCGGACTTTTGGTTCCCACTGTATACAATACCGATGTCACTGTGTTAGTTTTTGCAGTTGAAGAAAGTATTGATCGCATAAGGAAAATATCCTAGTTGAAGGAGAAAAATCTGATGGAAAGAATTTCTGACTGATTCCTCAGAGGTATCGTGGAAATAATATAACGTCCTGATACACTTCAGCGCCCTGTATACCTCTCAACAAACCCTATTTGAGAATTTGTGATCTAGTATGTCTTCATTGCTGCTGGAAGATCTACCAACCACCGCATTCCTGATTCCAAGACTGAACAAACAAATCTTTATATGGTGAATATGGCTCGGGAAACTCTGGAGTTAGTTGTGAAAGAGATGTTTCATCTCAAGACATAGTGTATGACAAAGATTGTATTGGATAAGTGGTAGTGGTCATACTTCAAACCAGGTTCCGGCAATGTTTAATCTAGTGTGAATGTAAATGATTTTCACTTTTCATCCATTGAGTGACCTTGCCTTCTAGTAAACTTTTGAACGGAATGAAAATGTAACACTTGAACTACCATTGGAGCAAACGAAACAACTGGAAAAATTCGAAATGGTCAAAGGATAACTAGGTGGATTTACTTTAAGGATCAGTAAACTAGAAAATCAACTAGAACTTACTTTGTGATTCAAGTAGGCTACATGGAGGAGACAAATATAAGTACTCAACTTTGAATTACCCTTTCACCAGTAGAAACAGTAGATATTGTCGAAGAACTGAAGCATTCCTAGAGTCAGTAGTTGCTTTGAGTACGAGCGTTCAAAATATCATTACTCCGTTC